ACCATGTTCGTCTCCCCCCTCGCATCTTCAGCTGAGCCACCTCGCCTGAAGGGCACCACAGCAGGCGCTGCACTGCGCGCCGCCCGCCGAAGCAAAGAGCGGACGTACCCTGAGCTTGTCGGCTCCCGGCGTTGCCACCTTCTCGTTCAGGTCCTTCGCAGCCAGGCGGCTGGCGTGCGTCGCCTGCCCGCTCCCCACTCTCGCCTCCCGATCACGTAGGCATCTGCGATGCCACCTGCACTGGGACCGCGATGAATGGTGCAGCTTTCCAAACCTTAGCTTCAATATGGTCAAAGCACGGATACGAAGGCTGCCCTTAGCAGTTTCCCGAACCGAAAGGCAGTATACATTTGCGTCAGACGTGAGGACCCAGGAGCTAGTCTTCTGCTCCACTGTTGCACGCTGCTGCTTGATGATGGCGTGGGGTCCGCATCACATCACGCAAATGCCCAGAGCACGGTCGGTTTTGTGAGCAAAAAAGAGCACAACAAAAAATGACCAGACTCATGTCCCCACCAACCAATGCACGCAACCTCTGGTCGAAGTGGCTGTTGTGAAAATGCGAGATTTCGCTCCATTCAACGATAAGCCAACTGATGCCAAGCCAGCCTCCAATGCATAACAACAATCTCACGCCACGACTTTGCGTACAGCATGAAATCGTCGGCGAAACGGACATTAGTCAAATTCGCGGCACTGCCGATGTTGATGCCACGGTCAAGCAAATGCGCCTTCCATTTCCTGATTGCGTGTTCTAGCCCAGCATTAGACAAGATAGGACTGTTGACGTCACCTTGCTTATCCTTGCTTCACTCCGCGTCGAATTGGAAAGGCACGGCTATCAGCGACAGATCCAGTTTGAATACAAAGTCCGTAACAAAGCGATGTAATCAGTGGGAACTCCTTGTTCTTGTCATGCTTTGAAGAAGCTGTCATGATGGATTTGGTCGAAAGCTTTTCGTCAATCAATGCGGGCGAACCAAACCGCACGCAAACGGGAAACTTGTGCTTGCAACCATCTGACAATTGCTCAGTTTTTTTTCTCAGTTTTCAATGCGCCGGGCATGATTTTTCAATTGCTGCTCGATGACACGATGCCTTCCACTCGACTTTTGACGTCATTTTGCAGGCTGGTCAAGTTGGTATCTACGAATCTACGCTGGACAACCTTGCTTGAACCTCATGACACACAATGTCAGCTGTGGTGCGGACAGACACCTGCAAATGCCTGTCCTCATTTGACGGTGGGTCAATCTTGTCGACCCCGGCCATTTCATGTTGTGGTGCGGACAGACACCTGCAAATGCCTGTCCTCATTTGACGGTGGGTCAATCTTGTCGACCCCGGCCATTTCATGTAATGGGGATCGCGTGGCCACTCTCTTCTCTTGACACCTTCTTCCGCCGGAGTCGTCGTTGCTATCATTCTGATCAGTCACAGACCACTTAGGCGCCACATGGCAGCCCCCTTGAGTTTTGAGCTTGATGAACTGCGACCATTCCATTTTTGTCTCTTTTCCCGAAAGCTTCAGCGAAGGGTTTTTCGGAAAAAAAAAGTTAGCCCTACCACACTACCACACACTCACACTACCATCACCACACCACAATCACCACACTACCATCACCACACTCCAATCACCACTACCATCACCACACTCCAATCACCACACTCCACACTACCATCACATCACCTCCTCTATTAAATTCTCTCTTATTTCTTAGGCTGGGGTGGGTTTCGCCGCGGCTAGCGCGATGCACACCCTCTGCGGGGATCGTGCGTGTCGGAGCGCTCCCGCTGTGCGTTTTTGCGCATGTAGATTTGTCGCCACGCACCCTCTGCGGGGATCGTGCGTGTCGGAGCGCTCCCGCTGTGCGTTTTTGCGTATTGTACAACTTGCTTCGCACACCCTCTGCGGGGATCGCGCGTGTCGGAGCGCTCCCGCTGTGCGTTTTTGCTCAGTGTACAACTTGTTTCGCACACCCTCTGCGGGGATCGTGCGTGTCGGAGCGCTCCCGCTGTGCGTTTTTGCGTATTTTCAAGCGTGGTCGTGCACCCTCTGCGGGGATCGTGCGTGTCGGAGCCTTCCTCACCTCTTCCTCTCCTCTTCCTCTCCTCTGCCTCTCCTCTTCCTCTACTCTTCTTTTCCTCTTCCTCTCCTCTTCCTCTCCTCTTCTTTTCCTCTTCCTCTCTTCTTCCTCTCCTCTTCCTCTCCTCTTCCTCTCCTCTTCCTCTCCTCTTCCTCTCCTCTTCCTCTTCTTTTCCTCTTCCTCTCCTCTTCCTCTCCTCTTCCTCTCCTCTTCCTCTCCTCTTCCTCTCCTCTTCCTCTCTTCTTCCTCTCCTCTTCCTCTCCTCTTCCTCTGCTCTTCTTTTCCTCTTCTTTTCCTCTTCCTCTCCTCTTCCTCTCCTCTTCTTTTCCTCTTCCTCTCCTCTTCCTCTCCTCTTCCTCTCCTCTTCCTCTCCTCTTCCTCTCCTCTCCTCTTCCTCTCCTCTTCCTCTGCTCTTCCTCTGCTCTTCCTCTCCTCTCCTCTTCCTCTCCTCTTCCTCTGCTCTTCCTCTGCTCTTCCTCTCCTCTTCTTTTCTTCTTCCTTTCTTCTTCCTCTCCTCTTCCTCTCCTCTTCCTCTCCTCTTCCTCTCCTCTTCCTCTCCTCTTCCTCTCCTCTTCCTCTCCTCTTCCTCTGCTCTTCTTTTCCTCTTCTTTTCCTCTTCCTCTCCTCTTCCTCTCCTCTTCTTTTCCTCTTCCTCTCCTCTTCCTCTTCCTCTTCCTCTCCTCTTCCTCTCCTCTCCTCTTCCTCTCCTCTTCCTCTGCTCTTCCTCTGCTCTTCCTCTCCTCTTCTTTTCCTCTTCCTTTCTTCTTCCTCTCCTCTTCCTCTCCTCTTCCTCTCCTCTTCCTCTCCTCTTCCTCTCCTATTCCTCTCCTCTTCCTCTCCTCTTCCTCTCCTCTTCCTCTCCTCTTCTTTTCCTCTTCCTCTCCTCTTCCTCTCCTCTTCCTCTCCTCTTCCTCTCTTCTTCCTCTCCTCTTCCTCTCCTCTTCCTCTGCTCTTCTTTTCCTATTCTTTTCCTCTTCCTCTCCTCCTCCTCTCCTCTTCTTTTCCTCTTCCTCTCCTCTTCCTCTCCTCTTCCTCTCCTCTTCCTCTCCTCTCCTCTTCCTCTCCTCTTCCTCTGCTCTTCCTCTCCTCTTCCTCTCCTCTTCCTCTCCTCTTCCTCTCCTCTTCCTCTCCTCTTCCTCTCCTCTTCCTCTGCTCTTCTTTTCTTCTTCCTCTCCTGGAAAGTCGACTTTTGTAGTACAAACGTAGTACGCCGCGGACGCCCGGAGCTGCCGTGGCTGGAAAGTCGACTTTTTGCAGTACAAACGTAGTACGCCGCGGACGCCCGGAGCTGCCGTGGCTGGAAAGTCGACTTTTTGTAGTACAAATGTAGTACGCCGCGGACGCCCGGAGCTGCCGTTTGTAGTACAAACGTAGTACGCCGCGGACGCCAGGAGCTGCCGTAGCTGGAAAGTCGACTTTTTGTAGTACAAACGTAGTACTTGTAGTACAAACGTAGTACGCCGCGGACGCCCGGAGCTGCTGTGGCTGGAAAGTCGACTTTTTGTAGTACAAACGTAGTACGCCGCGGACGCCCGGAGCTGCCGTAGCTGGAAAGTCGCTCTAGGGCTTCGAAAACATCGCAAATACCGTGGGCGCGGAACTCTGGGGCTTCGAAAACCTAGCAAATACCGTGGGCGCGGAACTCCGGGGCTTCGAAAACCTCGCAAACACCGTGGGCGCGGGCGCGAAACTCTGGGGCTTCGAAAACCTCACAAACACCGTGGGCGCGGAACTCTGGAGCTTCGAAAACGTCGCAAATACCGTGGGCGCGGAACTCTGGGGCTTCGAAAACCTCACAAACACCGTGGGCGCGGAACTCTGAGGCTTCGAAAACGTCGCAAATACCGTGGGCGCGGAACTCTGGGGCTTCGAAAACCTCACAAACACCGTGGGCGCGGAACTCTGGAGCTTCGAAAGCCTCGCAAATACCGTGGGCGTGGAACTCTGGGGCTTCGACAACGTCGCAAATACCGTGGGCGCGGAACTCATGGGGCTTCGAAAACGTCGCAAATACCGTGGGCGCGGAACTCTGGGGCTTCGAAAACCTCGCAAATACCGTGGGCGCGGAACTCCGGGGCTTCGAAAACCTCGCAAACACCGTGGGCGCGGAACTCTGGAGCTTCGAAAACGGCGCAGCAAATAGCGCGACGGCTCTCGTGTGGGCGCGCAATCATTGCGGATGACGTCTTGTCCTGCGCTCATGCAGAGCTATGCTTTGATCTGTTCACAACATGGCAGCAGGCGCCTCAGGCCATGTGGGACTTTTGCATGCTGGCATGTGTACGTGGTATCACCCCATTGCCGTCATCGCGCTACCATCGCCTCAGCTATACACGGCCTCTCTACACTGCCTATTCTATTCCATCTTCTTTGCGTTTCGCGTCCTTTTCGCTGTCGACGCGACACCTGCTTCCTATCCTACTACACCACACCACGATCACCGCACTGACAACACAACCAACTCTACGTGTCAGTTGATATCTTCGCACTGATTGCTTTCGGGATAATCGGTGTCTAGTTATTTTTTCATATTATGTTTCAGTCGTTTTTTAGATTCCCTTGCGGCACACCGCACTGGATCACAGTCTTGCACGTGGCCTGTTTCGCTGTGTTGCACGTGGCCCGTTTGTCACGGATGCCATTTCGAGGGAGACACTCACGTACCGTCATGGGGTTCCCTGATCGACGAATACTGGTGACCGAACTCGATGTACCTCGATGCCATCACACGTTTTTTTTGCAGATATAGCTAGCAAACCAGAGCGACCTGTTCTATTCGCAAGCGGAATAGGTTGAACAAAAACGTGGAGACATGGCGATGTTCAGGACATCTGCACGGTAAGACTGTAGGAATTGTAGGATGAATGTGCGGCTGCGGCGGCTTTGATCGCTGCCAGAGTCGCTGTCTGCCACATGAACTGGGAGTCTTATGCCAAGTTCCGCCAATGGTCAACGACCGATGCTGATGCGGAAACAAGTTCGGACGACGATGTGGCAGGCAACCCGCACACGGAGGAAGGTTTGATGAGAGCGTTCGTCTTTTTGCATGAGCGGCGGTCGAAGGCGGATCTGGCGCTGAAGGAGCTTGGCCTTGCAGATGCGTTTTCTGGCGCGGAGCCACCTTCCGACAACATCGAAAGCTTCCAGCTCCGAGAAGGCCTAGTGCACGAATACGACGACATATGCTCACGCATATTGCTCATGGATGGGGCAAGGGATGAGAAACAAATCCGCTTGATGGGTCATGCTGTTGAAGTGTCACATTGCAGGTATGCAGCGGGAAAGATTGCATATTCTTGCCGGCTATACGGTCTGGCCATGGAACGTTCATCCCAAGCTGTGTGGGTGTGCGAAGCGGCTTTAGAACACAATTCCTCCCAACAGCAGTTTGCCATTCAGTTGCTCCGCCAGACATTCGTAGATGTGTTAGTTCTTCGTTCGATGACGGCTTTGCGACGGGGCAGCTACAGAACTGCGCGGGAAGATGCACTATTGGCACATTCGCAGTCGAAGTCTGCACATGGTCGGGCGGAGGAAACATTGAATCTGGCACTTCGTTGTGAGATGGCCTTGCATGCTGGCGGACCGGGTGATGATGGCGAAGGGCGCCCTTTGACACCGGAAGCTGCTTGCGCATTGAAGCTTGATGTGACTGCTGGATGTGCGATGTCACTAAGCACCATGCCCAGAAAGAATCTCGACCTCGACGATATGGACTAACTCTCCGAAGTTTGTTTCAAGTGACCTGGTAGCTGCAGGGTTGTCTGAAAGCCCGCCAAAGGTGCTGATGGCGAGCACGTGAGGATATTGGGACGCCACAAAAAGCCGGCATCCGTTTGCATGTTTGCTGCTCGTTTCCTTGGCCAAGTGATTGACGGATTCGCGCTCCAGCACACTAGTGACTCGCGTCGGTTTGCTTGTTGTTTGAACAAGAATGGGTAGCGGAACTGAGACGTAGTGATCATTATTACTACTTAAGTGCACACGTCAAGCAGAACCTGTTGAGCAACGAAGAATACAGACGGTCATTTAGGCTTGTGGACTTCATATGGGCCATTAGCGCTTGCACCACCACGCGATATGAAGCACGGCCCAGATCTCAGGGACAGCAAGGTTGTCGGTGCCATTGGCAGCTATGCTGTGCAGACAGGCTATCGTATGCCGCCATGCTCCACTTCGCAAGGACCTCGGTTGCTCCTGGGAACCGGAAATGTTCGCAAGGTTTTGCCATGTTTTGCCGTAAGGTTTGCAAATCCAACGACGGCAAGCTATGGTGGCTTGATGAGTGCTGCACTCAGTCAACCATGCTTGGAATCCAAGTGGGTTCTGTCCCGCCAAGTGCGCACCGGATCATAATGCTTCTTGTGTCAGGTCAAGGATACGTGCCCCCAGGGCAGTTCGAGGATGCCGCAACATGCCGCAACCACACTTCATCACACTTCTTCCACCATGCCCACGCTGCGAGGGTGAGCACGTGTTTTCGCTCCAGGACCTTCTGAACCTCATCCGCCAAGCGTCTGCTCGGCCCCCAGGACCAAGTTTCAGCATCCTGCAATATCCCAACCACATGCCCAGGCAGCATCTGAGCGGGCAATGAATGCGGCAAAGTATGCAGAGATGGCGGCATCTGCAGTCCTTGGCTCTGCATGTCCTGAATGCTACCGAACATACCGAACGAGGGGCCGAAACAATATGCAGCACAGACTGATGCACATGATGCATCTTCTTTACGCTGTTCTCCCCCCCCGCCTCCCCTTCCCAAAACGTGGACCCGTGAGCGTCTTTGATTTTGTGGCCGTAACCAAGTGGCGTAGCACTGCTGCAGGTTGTCCAGCAGTTGTCTACACGCCTTGTGGACGGTTGGGTGTGTGATGGCAGCAGGAGCAATGAACACGCAGCGACGCCAGCGCGCAGGGGAGAGGCGCAGGGAGTCAACTCCAGAGCAGGGAGGGGGCGTGCAAGGGGCATGCGTGCGCTCCCCGTCTGCAGCGGCGGGGGCCCGAAACAGCGGTGCGATGTGGTGCGTGTCACCTTCGGGCCCTAATGCTTTCGTTCACCTTGCTCTCAAGCAAATTAGGACCCACACCGCTGAAGGTTCTGAAGAGGCTGGTGGTGCTGTGGCAAGCATGGTCCCTGAAGCCGCGCTTTTTTTTTCGCGGTTGTGTTCCAGAGAACAATATGGACGGCAGAAGCTGTTGGTGCGATTTCTGGCAGCATTCCGTCTGGAAACCCCAGTCTTTAAGCCTAATCCTGGGATGGAGGCATATGATCTCGCATGCTCTCGCCGAAGTTGCGCAGAAGTGACGGAGCCTGAACGAACGCAACGGCTCCAAAAAACCCAAAAGCCTCAAAGCCCTTCAGCCAAAGCCCTGAATTATACTCCGTCATCGCGACTGCCTCAGCATTTGCCTTTCTGCCCCAAGCAAAACTTTTGCAAACAGCGGACTAGAAGGCTGCAGTTCCCCAACCCAGATGCCGATTGACAAAACTACCACGGAAGCTCCGCGGAAGCGGAATCCCGTTGTCATGGCCCAAATGTCTTCGCGGAAGCCTGCGGACGGAAGCTTATTTATCCAACCTCACAAGCAACGGTTTTTCTGAGACGCTTGTTTGATCAGGACTTGGAAAAAGGAGCGCGCAGCAGGCGCTTGGATCGAATTTCGAATTCAGCACGATCCAGGACCCTTTTGCAACATTTTGTGGGACCTTTTACTAAGACTATGGAAAAGAACAGAAGAACCTCCCTCGCGAAACGCTGATGTTTTTTCTTTTTCAGTAAGCTTTGGCTTACTTTTGGCCCCGGGGCCGTGCTTTGTTTGGATGCTTTGAAGTTTTTTGAGAGGAGCTTTGCCCACAACAAGATGACATGCTCAAGCTATCATGCACGCTCGGCAGAAAAATCCGTGCAGTGACTTGTGATGTATGATGCGTATGTAAGTCCTTTTTTTATCCTTTGGAATGTGCACGTTCCACGCATGAGGCTGGAGCTGCTGGACAGCAAGCTGTCGTGTCGGTCTCAGCTCTAAAATGAGATCAGTCCCAGCATGTCTCAGTGATGTACTGCCTGCTCGTTCGCACCCGAACAATAAATAAAAACTTGTACAGTCAAACTCACATCGGCATGATGCAGCCCAGCTTCTGTGACGACCTGGGCGTGCCTACGCCATCACACTCCCATTATGTACGGTTTGTGTTGTCGCTTTTGTGCGCTCTTAGGGCATTAGAATGTGTTGTGCAATCTCAGGCCAGCTGCGTGATCGCTTGCTCCACCCGTAAGTTGGCGACGCGTTGCAGAAATCGTACCTGTGCTTCGCGAGGTTCGTGCCATGCACATGGCGAATGCTCCCGGGGCACCCACCGCAGCGCCCTTCTCCCCTGGAGCTCCAGATCCCGGAGTAGGCGTGATGTGCACGACATCTCATGACTTCACAACCTGAGAGCACTCGATCTTTGATGTTATCCAAGAGAACAGAGCTTCAGTCAATGGCCCTGAGCTGCTGACCACATGCCTTTCTGCAGTTCTGGCCGGAGTGGGAACGCCTAAGACGCCGGAAGCAAAATCTCAGTGCTCGAAGTTTAGGCAGTTTGGCACGACAACCCTTTGCAGACACGCTGCGTAAACTTGACACAGGCATCGCAGGCTTAAGTGCCAGATTGGTTAGGCAGCATGGACGTGGAGTCGGGTGCTGAGGCACCTCAAACGGAGGATTTCCCCCCTCCACCGCCGCCGCCAGCTGGTCCAAGTGCAAGACGCGCAAGAGTTCAGCTTCCAGAGCATGATCACGATGATGGTCCCACATACTATCGACTGGGCATCGACTATCCTATCGATGCCGACGACGAAGAAATCCATCATCAGTGCGCACGCATCAAGATACTTGGATTCTGAATTGCAGCTGTCAGGAGAAGCGGAGTTGCAACAATCAGGCCTTATTCACACCTCACTCCTGAGCTGTGTGAAGAGGCTGAAGCACGGACTAAGGAAGTTGGAGAATTTGGACAGTGTTGGAGCGACACATGGCTGAAGAGTCGGACTTGGTGTGAATATTGCAGGCTATCTCGTGTCACTTCTAAAAGCCACCCTTGCGGTGGATGTGGTGGATGTATGTTCTCGTGAATGCAGCATATCAGGCAGTGCAGGCCCAAGGCAGCGTTTCTGTGCATGTTTGTGTTGAGTAGCCTTCCCACTAAGGAAATTGCGAAAATTATGCCGCCGGTCTGGCATTTTAGTCGTTTAGTCGTTCCAGTGCTTGGAACCTACGAGGGTTTGTGCCGTAAGTTCCGAGCAGCTCGTCTCTCATGACCTCTCATTGTAGACGAGCGGATGCTTGAGGCTTGGTGGCCAACTGCGTTGAGAAGATTGAGAGCCTTGAGACAAACATAAACTTGGAGCACTTGGAGACGCTTCACAGCAACATGACATGCTCTGACGCTTTGGTGTTGTAAGCACTCTGCACATCGCTCGTGTCGTCGGCTGGTGAGATAAGAAGGCAGAGGCCAACTTGCATGACCTTGCATGTCATGTTCCAAGGCTGTATCAAAACATGGTGAAGAAGATCGAGAACATCAGCCATCTGCAGAACCTCACTGTATTGGATTTGTCCTTCAACAAGATTCGCAGCACAGAGCCGCTGGCAGCGTGTCCTTTCGAACATTTGGAGAAGTTGTACTTGTCGAGCAACAAGATCACGGATGTTGAAGGTGTGTTTCATTTTTACAAGCTGAAAATGTTGGAGCTAGGGTCCAACAGGATCAGAAGCGTGCCCGTGCAGATCTCAGCCTTAGTGAACTTGCAAGAACTCTGGCTGGGCAAGAATAAGATTGCCAGCATGTCCCTGCCACCATTACCTGCCCTACGGCATCTGAGCTTGCAAAACAATCGTTTGGAGTCTTGGGAGCCTGCATTCTTTCGCAACCTTGCCGGGTTGACCCATCTCTACCTCGGGCACAACAACCTTCCCGATCTTCCAGACGAGTTCGCTCTTCTGACGAGTTTGATCGAGGTGGACCTCGTCAGAAATGCCATTACACAAATCAAGCCGATTCCGGAGCTGCAGAACCTGGAAGAGCTGTGGTTAAATGACAACCAGATTGATGATTTGACGCAGATTGCCAACCTCTCGTCTTTTCCTTCCTTGAAAACGATTTATTTGGAACGGAATCCCATCCAGGACCTGGGCAACAAGCAAGCCGAGGAGAGGTACCGTGAGGCAATCCTTCAAGCAGTCCCCTACATTCAACAGCTCGATGCCGAGCGATTGAATGTCGAGTTGAAGGTCATCAGTGATGGAGCAGAGCGGCATGTCATGGGCATCCGGCGAGCGTAGAGAAGCTGCTGGAGCTACTAGACTTACTAGACCGTGCTAGAGACCCATTCTGAGGCGCGGATACAGAACATCGCCCAGTTGAGCAGCATGCACGTCAAAAGCAGAGGCGTAGAGCACAAGTGATCATGAGGTCACGTGGATTTTCTGGTCTAGGCAAGAGACACGGGGCACATTTACTTGCGCAGCTGAGTTTCCGCAGCTGAGTTTCTCAAGCAGCGCAGTAGCTGAATGACGTTCAGCCATGACATCTCGTCATGCAGTCCCTAAAGGCGCTGGCCCAGTCCACCTTGGGTGAAATCAAGGATGCCCTGGTCGATGCGGTTGGCGATGATGATGACGAAGAAGATCTGCGGCAAAACTACGTGTTGGAAGCAACTCGGATCCCGAGGCCTAGCCCTGTCGACTCCGAGCGACAAGCAGTCCCGAAAGGCGAAGAATCAGCGAAGTCTGCATCTGCTTCAGGGGATTCGGAAGTGGATCCCTGCCTGCACGAGCAGCATGAGGCGTTGAAAGAGTTCGCAGCACTCTGTCAGCTCCCAAGTCTCGAAGACACGTTGCAGAGTCTTGGAGCAAGCGCCGAAGCATCACAAGCCCTGACAAAACTGAGAGGTGGCCCAGACCTCTCCGTACCGCAGGTGGAGATTTTGTGTTGCAAAGTTCTGCGGCAAGTGCTTCCCCAAGTGGCACTTGAAAGCATCGCCCAGTCAGGAACCAGTGACACGAAACGGCTGTTGACGTCTTTCAATGAGCGCTACGAAAACCTGCTGGAAGAGCACATGATGCTCCAGCGGAAGTGTCGAGATCTGACATCGAAGAATGTGCAATTTGAAGCTTTGGCCCAGCAAGCTGAGGCGTGGCAAAGCGCACATCAAGCAGCCATCCGCCGGATCGAGCAGCTGTCCTCTGAGAACGCAGAGCTCAAGGAACAAATGGCGACTTGGCGGCGACAAGGTATTGAGACCAAGGAGCGATCGCAGCTGCACTCGCTGCTTTCACAAAAAGATGCAGAGCTCCGGGCTTCAACGGATGCTCTGCGCAAGCTTGAGGAGATAATGGAGGAGCAAAACACGCTGAGCGAGCAAAACGCAAGTTTGAAGCGTGAGCTCCGTGAGCTCCGTGAGCTCCATGTGCGGGAAGCACAGGAAGCGCAGGAGCTTCAAGCACCATCTGGCTCTGGGACTTCTGGGAGGCCGGATTCTGAGAATTCTCAGACTGAGTTGGTGACTCTCCAGGAGTACCAGCAGTTGTCGGCTCGATGCATGGCCGCGGAGGCAGAGCTTAAAGATACCTCTGCAGCTCTGGAAGTTTTGCTGCAGGAGAAAGGACGCAGGCTTGAAGACCAAGACTTTCTGGTGGATCGAAGGTTGGTGGCTTCCATGCTTGCACTGTATCACGAGCACCTCGCCTCGGGGCAGCGAGCCCTGGCTGAGCAGGTGCTGGCGCAGGCGATTCATGTATTGGGTGGTGTTCCTGAGGAGGCCCAGAAAAATCGTGCACGAGTAAAAGCCGCGGCTGCGGCTGCTGAAGCTCGGCTTGCTGAACCACTCGGCAATGCGTTTCTAGATTTCCTGGAAAAGGAAGCCACTGCGGATTCCAAACTACCAGTGAGCCTGACGGGCTCACGTGACTCCTCATAGCGAGTTGCCGACTTCCCGGCTTTCGGAGCCTGGACCAATGCCAGTGGACAGAAAACTTAGGTTGCTTTGCAAGATGCAGCATGAAAGAGTCCAGATGCAGAGAACAAAGACTTCTTACGAAAAGGAGGGTTCAGCCATCAGAGCAAATACACCTGACGAAGCACAGCGGAGAAAGAACCGGGTGGAAGCATCTGAGGGTCAGAGAGCCAACGAAAGAGGGAGAGGCAGAGGGAGAGGGAGAGGGCAAAGGAGAGAGGGGGGGAGAGAGCGAGAGAGGGGGCTTTGCCTAGTGTGCGAGGGGAGGGCTCCTCATGTCCCAGATGGAGAAGGAGGAGGAAACGCCCCTCATGTCCCAATTGTAGAAGGAGGAGGAAACGGAAGAAAAATAATAATAAGAAGAGAGAGGCAAAGAACGAGCACCACACACACCCACCCACACACAGCCTCACACCGCCACACACACACCCACACACACACACACCC